ATTTTATATGCAATTTTCTCTAACAATTAATGGTAAATTATCTACATATCAAGGAAAAGATGCATGCTAACTGATAATTTAAAGTTTTTGGGGCCAGTTGTTTTCTTCTTTTCTTACGTCGCCCCAATGGCCGCGAATACACTAGTGATAACGCCTATCGATATTCCAAGCCCAGCCCGGCCCGGCCCGGCAAAAATAGCAATCTAGTTATTGTCTTAGTCTATTGCTATAATAAGCATGATTGATTACACTATTTTGAGAACAATTCAAATTGCATGAATATTAACATGGCAATCATGACTCCCTTCTTTTCAATGAATATAATCATTTCAAGCACCTATGGCACAAATTTTAACAGTAACAGCGGTAAATATTTACATAAAGTCCGATCCATATTTCAAGCATAAATTTTGCATATTCTTACGTTATTTGACATCCTGAATGTAGATATGATGCTTACATGCGGCGGAAAACAGTGCTACCATATTAAAAATATTTGCTACCATATTTGGGGAAATGTTGGGAACCGGGGTTTTTGGGTGGGGGAGGAAATACAATGCCGTAAGAATGGTTATGAAAGTTGGGGGAAACTGTTGGGAACCGGGGTTTTTGGGTGGGGGAGGGGGGATCGGGGTTTATGGGTATGGAGAGAAACCCCGGTTCCCAACAGTTTTCCCCAACTTTCATGACCATTCTTTACGGCATTGTATTCCCTCCCCGACCCAAAAACCCCGGTTCCCAACATTTCCCCAAATACGGTAGCAAATATTTTTAATATGGTAGAACTGTTTTACGTCGCATGTAAGCATCTTATCTACATTCAGGATGTCAAATAACGTAAGAATATGCAAAATTTATGCTTGAAAAGTGGATCGGAGAGATAAAATTTACTTACCTCTAATCTAGTTCACCGTGGTTTTGAAAAATACGCTGGACGCGTTCCTCGTTGCGGTACGCAACTGAAACTAGTTCGTATTCCTCCCACTTGCACCCGGAGCACAACGAACCACCCAGCACGGAAGCCATGATCCAACTAACAGACTGGCGGGAAAGCGGAAAGCACTGGAAAGCACCTGCTAAAACTGGTTCAAACCAGTTTGCTCAAACGGAAACGGAAGTTTCTGCTCTATATTGCAGGTACGAATGGAAAGAAGTTTACGTAAGGTCATAGCTATTAGGCATGTTTGATAGAAAAGATATCATAATTATATTATTTGAACATAAAAAATGAATAAAAAATCATCAAAAAGCAATTTAAATGTAAAAAGCAATACTTCTTCTCTATTCAAATTGTTTGGTGAAAGTGACGTCAAAATAACAAAACACGAAAAAAATGTTTAAAAAATTGGAGTTTTGTTGGGTAGGATAGGAAAAAAACACGACAAAAATTGTCAGAACCTAATCTAACCTGACCTAACCTGACCTACTGATATTTGCCTACCCGGGGATAAGGAAACAGTTGCTCGCATGAATAGATTGCAAGCAATGGTAAGTCAAATATTTTTAGGTTAAGTGGTTGTGCATCAGGCCTCAGGCCTTCGGCCTGAGGCCAGATACACAACCACTTAACCTAAAAATATTTGACTTACCATTGCCTGTAATCTCTCCTAAGGCATTGCCTTCGGCACTGCACCGCTTCGCCACGATCATTTTCATGACGTCACTTTCATAATGAGATTGAATAGCGTAATGTTTTCACTCAACCTTGGAGTTTATTCATTCGATCCATCTCACGTGGCGCAAACGGCTGGTGGAGTGCGTTGACGGCAGGTGTCGTGGGATGGTGGCCGGCGGCGACGGTAAATATTGCGCAGTTGCTTTAAAACTTGGTTGCGCCATGAATAACTATCAGATATGGAATCAGGAGCTCAAAATACATCGAGTGGTGTGGTTTTTATAATCACCTTGTTGATCGGACCTTATGTATATAAATACCGTAACAGCAAGCACCTCAGTCAATTAGGTCTTGATTACACACCTATAAAAAGTTAACATGATTATATTAACTACATTCTATGAGTAAAGTTATCTTGCAAGCTGATGTGTGTGAACATTATCATTCATAATTGGTGACTCTAATGCATACTTGAAGGAAGTATTTGCCACATACTCTATACTTCCCAGCACTTACCAGCAGAAAAAAAAGCTTGACTTATGGGAATTGATGAATCTGTCTGGGATTGACCTTGCTGTTAAATTCACTCCATAGATGCTGCAATATCAAAAGCCTGAGAAAGCATACAAAATAGGTGACACTAACTTTAGCACTGTCTTCCAAAAAAAGAGAAAATCCATCCATTTATCAGCAAAACTGATCTTATCTATTTTCAATTCATGCCCACGTGTCAACCAAATCTCTGTGGACAACTATCTGCTACTTTCCTTGCTATTTTATGTTAGGCTCTTTTCAAGATATTGATATCGCTAGCAGCGTAAGCAGAAAACATGGTAAACTTGAAATGTCATTGGGTACTTTTGCGACTTTTACGCATCATCATCATCAATCAAAAATGAGCGAACACTTCTTTATTGTCGCAGCTGCGGCAGGTAGCGATTTTGACCAATTGTATAATAAAACATATATGATCAAGTTTTTGTTTTGTTTTTCGTTCGAGTTTTCAGACTTCGTGATTTAGATTTTATTTTTTATTTGTTTAATTTTGTTTTTCACCTTGATACTTACTTTAAAAACGTATTTATTTGATATACTGTTGTGTATATTACCTAGGTGCCGCCACATAAACATAGGGCCGCCGCATGGCCGCCGCCATGATTGCAAATTTTGTTGAGAAGGGGCTGGTTTGTTGTGACTTATTTTGACAAATTTATGGACATTTAAAGAAGCTTTCATCGCGAAATACTCTGTAGAGTTCCTCGTTACTTACAGTGTGTTTTGTGAGCATCCTTTTAAGGTTCTGTTCGTTAAAAAGCCGTCGGTGAAGGAAAAAAGACTGTGTTGGAATTGTCTCACTATCGCCATATATAAGTGTTAAACTTAATGTAGCCCTGTGGCCCATCATTGTTGAGTGGCTTCTTAGTTTTTGGAGTTGTAGTGCTAAGTAAGTTATTCTTATGGCTACATTTTAACTTTTATTACAAACTAATGATGCTAGAGATTCTCTGATCTTTTTGGTTGCGGAATTTTTATGAAAACCCTCCTATGTGTGACATGATGTGATATTGGATAATTCTCAAGATTCCCAAAATTCAACATCAAGTAGGTTTTCTTTCACATTCCTTAAATTTGGTTTAGTTTTTGTATTTTCCCAGTGGGTTTTGTTTGCATCAGTTTCCAAATTTTCTTAAATTGACATTAGTCGCAAAACCCATAGTGCACAAAGCTCTTGGCCCGGCCCGTCCATAGCCCGTTAACTAATGATATTTGGGGGCCCGGCCCAGCCCGTAGCCCAGCCCGGCCCATGGCCCGTTGGGCTGGCCCGGCCCGTGGCGAACGAGGACCCTCACCGGCGCCTCTGAGGGCCACACACTAGCACCTCAGAGGGCCTACAGCGGCACCTCGGGGGCCCCGCACCAATGCCTCTGAGGGCTTCACACCGGTACCTCAACCTGTGAGTGCCCACACCAGTGCCTCCAAAGGCTTCATAACCGGCGGCCCTGAGGGCACTACACCGGTGATTTTGGGGGCCTACCGAAGGCACAACACAATCCCTTAGTCTCGCTGAGTCGCTATCCCAATCCCATACTGGCTTCTATCCCAATTCCGGCTCAACTAATTAGCAGCCCCCCCCCCCATGGGTCAGCTTCGCCGCGCCGGTGTCGGTGCCGGGGATGGCATCGGGGCGGCAGTCGGCCACGCGCACTCAATGGTGTGAGCCGCTCCAAAACGGCTGCAGTAACTGGTCGATATAGGCAGTAAGCAGATGAGGAGATGCAGGTGGATTGATGACCGGCAAGCCTTTGTGCTTTACGAGGGCGAAGGGTCGAAGTCGGCTGCTAAGCCGTGAACGGGTTTTATCAGATACCGGTTCACTATGACCTTTATCAGGGTCCTGGTACCCTGACGCACTCTTGGATAGCCGAATTACAGCAAAACTCCATCCACGACTGTATCTATACGGCTTACGCTTTTCTGAAAACGTCTGCGTTTGGCCTTCCACGGGCCCGGCCGGCCGGCCGGCCCCGATTGGCAGTCCACCAGTGACGTCACTGGTAGTGTTAAGCTGATTGGCGAATAATACATGGGGAGAACCGGGACGACATCCCCCTGATCGTTATGATCCATGATGACAATGAGAAAGCTTTTGAAATAAAATGAAAATTTATGGTTGAGACTGGTTGGAATGCTAAAGGTCATTGAGGTAGGCATTGATACATTTTTGTTGTTTATGGTGACCCACCACAAATTTGTGGGGGGGGGCAAGATATGGGGAGCAAGATATCACGCATGTAATAATTGAAATTGTTGCATGCTTGGTTGGGATTTGTTCGCTTGTAATTTTTGCTTATTTGTGATAACTGCACAGTTACCTATTCATAATTTTTCTTTACTTTATTTGGCATTGACCATGTAATCCTGATCATTTTGCAAATCACTAAATCAAAATAAGAACGTTTGTGAGTTGCAACAAGTGATCTTTTGGGATTTCTGTGTTGACCAAAATTAAATGAGGATCTATGATCCCACTGGATCTCAAGCAAAAATACTAGACTCGGATCTATGATCCCTATGGATCTCAATAAAATAAAGAGCTGGATCTATGATCCCGACGGATCCGAGATCAGGATCCGTGGGATCAGTCGGGTCCCTGTACATGTCTGCTCCCAATATTGATATACTTGAGAATTGAATGACATAATACCACACTGATCATTGAAAAAGACTGCTGCAGAAGGTCACAGTGAAGTGGCAACTACTGGACACACTGACTCAGGGGCTGGGAGGTATGCGCAGCATCACACGCGCACACAAGGGAGCCGGCCAGCTGTCAGGACAGCTGGCTGGCTGCACCATGAGCTCTGCAGCTAGTAGGTAGTGGCGAGCAGGAAGGGTTACGCATAAAGCCTGGTGCAGCCAAATGTATCATGTTTAAATATCTCATATCCATATAGGTACAGACTCGTGTCCTCTCTGATTTGAATTTGGAAGAACTCTGAGCTTGTGGTGGGAAACATTTTTGTTCAACTTGCTTTTATCTAATTTCCTTGTTATCTGTTAAAAAAGTTTAGCATCTATGGCATGCATAAGCATGTGCATGTGCTTAAATAAAAAGGTTAAAATTTGGCACAATGAGCCTCAACTTTTGGCCCAAATCATGCTAAAATGCTAGCGCATGAGTCCCTGGGGAGTGGGGTGTTCGCTGTAGTGCACTAAAATTTTTTCCAGTCTGGACTTATTACCTAACCCAACCTAAACTAACCTGATCTAACATATCCCATATCAACCTACCCTAGCCTAACCTAGGATGTTTGCAGTTTGCCTGCCTCCTAAAAACTATGAAATCTGTAATGATGTCACTCTGATATTGATTTGTGTAATATTTTTAGCTGTTTTTTGTGTGATTACAGAGACATGATTGTTTCGTGCGTCGATTTAACATGTCCTCTCCCTTTTATTAACACAAGTGACGCAACGCAATTTATCGGAGTGTTTTGATTGTCAATACAATACAATACAATACAATTTTACAACAGCTGACAACAGGTTTTTGCAACAGCAGACAACGTGTAAGGAGACCGTGCAGCTCGATTGAAATGTAGAAACTAGAAACTGTGATTGGGGTAAAACTATGATCTTATGCCGAAAATTGTGAATCAAGTTAACTGGATGCTACATTTATTGAATCATGCGGTTTGATTTCTGGGTAGTTGTCTGTTTTGAATTCCATGGCATTGTCAGGTAAATTTTACCATTAGAACTTTACTTTTAAAAAAGTTATTGTGCAGAAACACATCATCATGGTTATTTTATTTCATATTGCTTAGTGAGGTAGCTACTCAGCTTGTGCATTATTTAATAGGTTTGCCAAGCAAATTAATGTAGGTATGACTGCTTAGGCACCTACAACAGTTTGAAGCTGCCTATTGCCAAGCTGATTGCTGATCGTACCCCAAGGTCCCATACAATAAGTAGGTATGGACATATCTTTAAAAATAGCACTCAAGCTAGACCACTCTTGACGTGACACTCGGTGCATTTTGGTGGCAATCATTGCCACCAAAATGCACCAACCCGCCATCAGATAAATAGCCAAGCCCATTTTGTCACAGGTGAACCAGGCCTGCCAAAAGCAACCATGGACGACTCGGGCTCCAACACCCAGAATCGGCTCTATCTGATGCTGTCGGAGCTGCAGAAAATCGCCAAGGATGTGCCACGGTGAGTGATCCAGTGAGCTGCAGAAAAACGCCAAGGATGCGCCGAAGTGGAGTGATCTGCAGAAAACCGCCAAAGATATGTCGCACTGACTGATGCGAGTCACGTGGGCTGTAAACACATTAGGTACTGTAACTAGCTGTATACCCGAGTCACCTGAACCGTGCGCATTGCAGCGTGCTCTGCAAACCAACCAGGACTTGGGTTTTTGCCTCGCTTTGCAAACATCAGGTGTCGAGTATGTTGCAAAACAGTTGTGAAGTTAAGGGGCGTGTTGTGTTAGCTAAATCAAAATATGATATATCAGTTACTTTATTATACTTCGTCATTTCAAAACAGCCAATAATGTTTATCAATAAAGTAAGAGGTTACTATCGTATAAACTAAAGGTTAGGCAGTCAGGGAAAGGAAATTACAATATCGATCACCGCTGTTGGATGTTTTGAAGCTGGTGAACACTGAGTCTGCTGATTGCGTCTCTATGCTGTTGACTTTTGGGCTATTATTTCACTATGTAGTTCTGGAGCAGACTGAATGTTCAGGACGGTCGCAGCTTATGCCAGAATGCCGTGACGCGCGTGTTTTTCGGGTGAGGCCGATCGGTCACTTAGCTCGCGTCGTGGATGGTTCGTTTCGTGACAACCGCTGGCCAGGCCGCCAGTCCGGAGTTTTTACGATCGCCCTGAAGCAATGATGGAGATCAGGAACCGGCGTCCGACACTAGAGCCGTTTGATCGAACTATAATGACCACAAATTACAATCGCGTCTTAGTGCATGTCTGTTTTTGCTTTTGGGAAGTTAATGCGTTGTTCGGAAGTTAATGTCCTGCTACCGATACCTTGACAACGTATCACAGGCTTAGCTAATGCACGGTTAGTTCCAGTACAAGCTGGTTTATAGTCCAGCGACAGGAGCTCGCGCAAGTCAGATGCACCGAACGCGAAAGCGCTGTAAAACCTGGAGCTGAGCGTTGTGCCAATTATTGGGTCTGGTGGCAAGGATTCCGTGTTCCAGCAGCGTCTGACTGTCCGCCCCGTGTTCCAGCAGTGCCTAACTGTCCGCCCCGTGTTCCAGCAGTGTGCGTTCAGTGTTCCAGCAGCGTCAACTGTCCGCCCTGTGTTCCAGCAGTGCCTAACTGTCCGCCCTGTGTTCTAGCAGTGTGCGCTCGGTGTTCCAGCAGTGCCTAACTGTTCCCTCTCCGTTCCAGCAGTACCTGACTGTCCCCTCTCCGTTCCAGCCGGTTCCAGCAGCGCCTGACGCTGGAGCTGCTCTCGGGCCTGGCCAACTCGATGCTGGACGGCACCGTGTTCCAGATAGTGGACCGGCTGGCGGAGATCCAGCACGTGACAGAGAAACAGGCCTTCCAGATGCGGCAGCAGCTGGTCGCCGGGCACAACGGTAGGAAGGCATCCAGCCATACGTATAATGTAGCTCATATGGACACTGGATGGCTCAGTCTGTTTAAATCAGTTTTGTTTTAAACTAAACCGACCATTATTCTAACGGTTATTGCTTGTCTGTCGAGATTGTTGACGAGCTGGTATTCTATCGGCCCAGAGTTGTGACCTTTGAGTCAGGTTGACATTTCAGACCGTTGTGACTGACGTTGTGGTTCATTGGAGGCGTAAAGAATGTCACTGAATGGAGGCGTGACTTGTTTAACAGGGAGACGTGCATGATAGGTGCTCTATGGTTACTTTTATCTTGTTATTTGCAGACATACAAAACCCTGACCTTTATCCCTATCCCGGGGCCTTGAAGCCGGTGTTTTTTACTTATTCGTCGTTCCGTGATATTGACGTTTGAACGCACATACGTTTCGTCGGCATTCATATTGAATCAAATACCCCGGCTGCTCCGCGCGCTTGAAGATGGTACATATTGAAATACCTTGTTTCGCGTATTCTATGCTGCACAGCGTGTTATTTCCTCAAGAATAGACGATATTGCATTCTTCCTACGGCTGCGGTATCAACGCTACCCTGTCCGAATAAAAAGAGCATCGCCGCCACCTCCAGCATGCGCGTATGACGTTATTAAATTACTGCAATAAATTTAGCTTGCCGTAGTAGCAAAAAACTATGTTTTCCATGGATTCGATTTGTGGCAGCTGTGACCACTTATTTGGGTGATCTATGGAATAGTCACTGTCCATAGACAACAGTGGGTGATGCTAGTATAACTACAAATGCTTTTATACATGCGCCCTTTTAGATAAGGACGCTTTCGTAATCTAGAAATATGAAGTTTCTCTTATTTCTAGCCACAAACGTCAAATCAGACAATGCCATTATTGATTAACCCGCGCCCCGTTGGGCTCTGCCGAGCAACGCGCCCGGTTGGGGGGGGGGGCATTTTGCCCCCCCCCCCCCCTAAGATCTCGAGAACCACGCAACATAGCGACAAGCGGTAAACGGCGTTGGATAGCCCCAACGGGGAACTACCTTGTGACCCAATTTTATTGACCTAGGTCAAACCGATGACGTCACAGGTCAGGTCAAAGGTCCAATTTTCACCGTTTACAGGCATTTCAAGAAATGCGTTGTAAAATCGAGTAAAATGCATTTCATTGAAAATCATCGAAGGGGAAATGTTCTTCAAACACATATTTTGCTATTTGAGGTCACTGATACCAGGTCAGGTCACAGAGGTCAGGTCACGGGGGGGTCACAATATGAAAGTGTCGTGTGATACATGTTTAATGGTCCATTTTACATGACAAATGCGATTATGTGGGTCAGGCAGCCTTTGGGACCAGCTTAGGTCATGTTTTGGTCAAGGTCAGGTCAAGGTCAGGTCAAGGTCAGGTCAAATTAGGTCAAATTTCAAAGTTAATATTTTTGCATAAAATGTGTATCGAATCGATGCAGCTTGTCACGGGGAGTTCAATGGTGGTCTTTGTTGTGCCGTACGTGGTCTAGAATCGCTAAAAATTGAGTTCAAAAATTTGACGTCATCATTTTTGAACAGTTTTTTTCGCTATAACTTGGCCAAAAAACGAGATATCGATCTGAAATTTGGTATGTATATAGAAGAGCGCTGGGACTATCACATATATTCCGGTTTTTTCGAAATTCGGAAAAATTTTGGATTTTTTAAGTTTTTCTAAAAAATTCAATTTTTTGAATTTTTTTTTGTCAAAAACCAAAAATTTTGAAAATCCGAGATAGCAGTTTTGTAGCGCCGCTTTTTGTCTACTAGACCATATAAAGAACTTTGAAATTGCTTGATAACTGTAGATTTGGTGAGCGTTTCAAGATTGCATGTTTTTTGCTCATTTTTGCTCGAACATGACCTCAGTTTGACCTCAATAACTCCTGACCTAAGGTGACCTAAGACTTGAAATTTGGTGTGAAGGTGTCAAATTGATGCCCGGGAAGGTACTGAAAATTTGGCGGCGCTGCGCGCCGCCGTTTTCTTACTATTCAGGAAAAACCACAGGGGGGGGGCCAAAATGCCCCCCCCCCAACGGGGCGAGGGTTAATGCTGTTCGGTACTCAATGCTAGTCTTTGGAAATGGTGCAGCTCAATTTCCATCATATCCGGACCTAAGTGACGTCCGTCAACTTGTCTGGGATGCAATGCCTGTCTTTTGACGAAGGAGCCCGTTTCCTCCGGTACCTGGTCCATTTTTCTTCTTGAGCTCCTGCTGGATCCTGCATCAACATTGCACAGCGTCTGAGATGTCGAGCGGGCCCGATCAACTCGGCGTCCGATTGGACGCCCGGGAGCTCTTTCCCAGCTCCTCTGCCGCCCGCTGAAAAAAGTTTGCTAATATCGGCGCGCGATTAGTTTCAAGCCTGCTTCTAGCAACAGGGACTGCGAAGTGCGAACGCGGCTCGCAGTCGGATAGCTATTTCGGAGCTCGTTGGAAGTTATTGACGTTAAGTGCGATGCAATTGATCAGATGTGCAGTCATCCTTTTATGGATAAACTACCTAGACGACTTATTTCACCCAATTTGAAGGAATATGCTCTCGCATAAGAGTAGCTCTTGACATAGTTTGTGGTGATGACTAATTGCTGTCTATAAAGTGGGCTAAAGTTAAAAGTTAGTCAGAAGCAAACCCTCACCCAGGAGCATAAATGACTGACGAGAACAAATGATGCGTCATCTCCTCGCATAGGTGTTTTTGGTCATCGCCATTCAAATAACATTGCGTGTTTCGTCTGCATATCACCTGCCTGCGGCCCATGTCGTAAGGTCCCGCCTCGCGTGGCCAGGCTCCCTTTGTGCATGGCCGGCTGTCTGCACTTTTGGGCCCCACTGATGCGGCGGCGCCCCGCCCACATAATCACATGGTTTTCACGTATTTCACGGCGTCTGCCGCTGCTGCGGTCACGTGATGGACCTTTCCGTGCCGCGGGGCCGTGGCCAACTCACGGCGGATCGTCACGTGACGACTGAGGGTCGCCGGCCCCGGCCCGCGAACCGTGCCCAGTGCTATGAGGTTCAGCGGTATCTGAGCGCCGATTGTCATTGATTGGGCCGATAGCAGCGTCAAAAATCGCCGGTTTATACGTGTGTGTATGCAGTTTTGGGCCGAAAATAGCGTCTGCGTAGATCGGCCTTCCTCAGCGAACTATTTTATGAAGCGGGTTTGCAGTGTCGACGTTTGGCTTACACCTGCCCGTAGGCTGTCTCGCCATCGGTATCCGCTGTTTGTGAAATAGTAAATGTAAGTCAAGTACCGCCTCACTTAGTGCTGTCTTCTTATTATTGTTATAAGACCATTTCTGAGTGCCTACCTTCGCTGCTAACTTTGTTAGGAGTTTCAGCCTGAATATAGTGAATAATCGCTTTGCTTCATGAAATATCAAATAAATCAAGTTAAATGCTGGCATCTGATTTAAGTTATGCTCTTGAGGTGACTAGCTCGATAACTCTTCAGCATCTCTCGGTAATTGCGTTCCATTATTTCTGGAACTCCGAGGTGCTTATGCATATGCACTGAGGCCGCGTGTTTGGCGGCGGCCCGCCCAGAACACATAGGGGCGGGGGAGACAGACCCCCTCCGCTAGCATTACTTCTTGGATACTTAATGACAAACGATGAGTGGGCACTTGGAAACTGGTCACAGCTGACATGAAAATATTGCGGCTTTTGGGTCAGAGCGCTTGATTTGATATGGGATAACCTGATCACTGATGGCGACTTGACACCTTTCCGTACTGACCCGTTGTCCGCTACCGGTGGCCGTAAGTCGGGCGACCCGTATGTGCTGACTACGCCCCGTGACCTGCTGTTGGCTGACCGTGTCCCGTGACCCGCTGTTGGCTGACCCCGCCCCGTGCCCCGCCACCCTGTGCCACAGCGGACCACCAGGCACTGCTGAAGGCGAATCTGCAGGCGAACCCGCTGTTCCGTGTCGCCGACCCCACGTCCTCTTCTCCCGCCGCTCGGTGCCGCCCTGTGACCTAGGACGTACTGTCGCTGACCGTGTCCCGTCGCCGCAGCGGACCGCCAGGCGCTGCTGAAGCAGCAGAAGGCCGACCTGCAAGCGGCGCTGGAGCGCGGCGAGTCGCCCGCCCGACTGGAGGCCGCCCACCAGCGCGACATGCAGAGCCTGCTGCACAAACAGCAGGCCGAGCTGACGCGCTGCGACATGAAGGTGGTCACCCAGCTCGACCAGAAGGTGGGACACGGATGAGGGGGGGGGGGGGGGTGGAGGGTGCTGCAGCGGCCACTCTGAATGCATTGGGGTTGTTACTTGTTAGATATCACTAGTAAGCCTATTGATTGCTATTCGCGTCAGAAATGGATGGTTGGGAGCAGCTACCAGACCAAAAGCACATACAGCAAGTGAAACCGAATGACGGGAGTTCGAAATTGTATCCATAAGAGGCATGCAATCTCGAAGGGGTCATGAATACCTGTCTAGGAGGTGTGTGCGTGGGCTGCTGTTCTGAGCGGCCGTGCCCACACCGCCGCTATTGTTGGCTCTCCCCGATCGCCGCGCCGGCAACATTAGATGGTCTGTTGGCCTCGCCGACCCACCGACTGCGTGGGAAGCGCTGCCGGCGGAGTGTCCGGCTCACGGCCATCGGAGCCGCGCCGGCGGACCGGCCGTAATGGTCCGGCCGGTCCGGCTGTTGATACCAATCATGGACGCAAGCTCACCGAGCTAAATTTACCGTGCGAATGTGCTCTAAATGCCGGGCACGGTCGTTGTAGTCGTCCCCCACCAGCCGTATGTCTCCGCAGGGCCGGACTGACGTATGGGCCAGAGGCTATCTCTTCGGCACATGAATAAGTCAGCCGGCGCCGGTGCAGGTCGGAATTTAAATGCGCGGTCAGGCGCCGTGAGCCGTCCTCGCCGTCGGCGAGCACTGCCAGTATTTCAGGAGCTACTGCTGGATGCCGCGCGCCGACTGCCTGTGAGCGGCGCTGCTCAGTTATGACCCAGACTTGTTCGTCCGTGTGGGGGCGGGAGGCTGACCGTCCCGTCGGCTGCTGAGAGCGAATGGCGGCATTAATTTTGCACCTGCGATGGCCTTGACTACTCTGTGTGGTGTTGTGGGGTGATTCAGTGAAAAGGGCGCAAAGCGTAAAATACTGCAACACTCGCCGTGTATTGTATTGTATTGTATGCACCAGTTTGTATTCGGTCTCAACCGCCTTACAAAGAAGAGCTGGGAACTGTGGAATTAAGGCCGATTAAGCCGCATGTTGTCAATTCTTACCAACCGGCTGCTCAGAGCATGCAATAGCCAATCATTCGCAGAGGGCTTCTGATTGCTCAAGTGCTGCCGAATTTGCCGAGGCATTGACCGAGCATGTCGCCGAGTGCTGTTCCAGGAATCGGGTCCTTCTCTCGTAGTCTCGCCGAGTGTGACGTCACAGAGACTTTGGCCAATCAGCGACATGCTATCTGTCGCCGAGTTTGTCAGTATTTCGAACATTGAACAATGGTCTGATACTGAGCTCTGGTTTTGCCGTCACCCGGGCCGTGAATTGATATAGATCTAGTTGAGCATTTCGTTTTTCGCCTTCACCGTGGTTCTCACTGCCGAGAGCACCCTATGAAGCAAGAAAAAACGCTATGAAGCAATGATGCCAACATCCGCCGCAGACCGGCTGCCCTGAAACCCAAACCAGGTACCAGCTGCAGAAAGGCTCGGTTTTCGCTGGTACGTTCGTTTGGAGGTTCACTGCGAACCGATGTCGTATCGATCCCTAGTCGCGCGCTCATTGCTGGCTATTTATGGTCCTGGTTGCGTAGTTTCAGCCGCTTTGCAGCCGCTGTTTGATGAACGCCGTATTGATTCCAACTTCCTACGTTATTGTCCACGGCGGCTCTAGATTTTTGCTTTGAGAAATTAGCCAATATTTTTAGTTTTTAACGGTTATTTTTATCTCATATAACTACGGAACCGTTGCCACCACGGTACCGGATACCAACTTTTCCACGCCGGTTTCCGAGTGACAGGGCGGCCACAGGCAGCGGCGCACCACCGAGCTGAGGGGCGTCCGGGCGCTGGGGTGTCTGTCACCTCCCTACCAGCCGGCGGTCGGCTCTGCCCCCACGGGACCCCAGTGAGCTCCCCTCGACAGCTCTCCTCGGGTGGGGATGGGTGTGCCCCAGACACCTGTGGAGCGGACAGGATGTGCGGCAGCTCGGCCACAGTGCACCGCCGGCCGAGTTCGGCAGTTGGCGGCTCCCGGCGACCTGTTGATGGCTTTGGCAGGCCCCTGGGAACCGGCTCCATTAGCCGAGTGTTCTGCCAGCCGAGCGCGTGCTGTTTACGTCGCGCGAGTTAACCACTAATTGGACGCCTCGGCATTTCAGGAAGGTAACGCCCGCCCTTGCAGGATTCAACTTAACCGCCTGTTGTATTTGCTTTGGAAATATATTTCATTAGTTTATGCTGCTTCCAAGCATTGCAAACTCGGTGTTAATTAAGTAATCTGTTTCACGAAGCTGTAATGCTGTTGAGTTCTGTCGTTCATCTAGATATCATCACAAGTTAGCTGAGTTTTTCGGCGGAAAGTTGGTGTAGCTGTTGGATAAGTTGTTATCCCTAGCGGCTCATGCCTGTCCGACTTGGTGCTGATTAGTTTTTAGAAGCTGCGAGTGCTGTCGCGTCTAGTTTAGTGACCAAGTTGGCGGCTTTTGCGCAGCTCAGCGCCTTTCAGCAGGCGCAATGTACGACCGTAAATGGCGCAGTCATGAAGTCCCCGCCTGAAATATGCACGCCGGCTAACTGCATAGCGCGAAAACGGCTCATTTATTTAGTTATGCCTGAGACAAGTTTGGCAAACTTTGATGCAGAAGTTTATTGTCATTGACGTCAGGGGGGAAATGGGCCGACAGGCGGCGGCTGTGGGTTTCTGGTCGGCAGGACGGCGCGGGGCCGCGGAGGGCAGTGGGGAGCCGCGCGCGACTGCCGGGATTGATACGGGCGTCCTGGCACTGACATGGGCGTTCGGAAATCGACTTGGGTGACACCAAGGTTACTGTGGTGACACGAACGTTCAAGGATTAACGCACGCAGTCAACTCTCGTTCTCTTCTGTCTGTCTGTCTGTCTGTCTGTCTGTCTGTCTGTCTGTCTGTCTGTCCTCCCTCCCTCCCCTCCCTCCCCTCCCTCCCCTCCTCTCTCTCTCTCTCTCTCTCTCTCTCTCTCTCTCTCTCTCTCTCTCTCTCTCTCTCTCTCTCTCTCTCTCTCTCTCTCTCTCTCTCTCTCTCTCTCTCTCTCTCTCTCTCTCTCTCTCTCTCTCTCTCTCTCTCTCTCTCTCTCTCTCTCTCTCCTCTCGCTCTCTCTCTCCTCTCCTCTTGCTCTCTCTCTCTCTCCTCTTTCTCTTTGCCTTTCCCCCTCTTCTCTCCTTCCCTTCTCTTTCTATTTCTCTTTCCCTTTCCTTTCCCTTTCCCTTTCTCTTTCCCTCTCTCTTTCTCTTTCTCTTTCTCTGTCCCTCTCTCTTTCTCTTTCTCTTTCCCTTTATCTCTATCTCTATCTCTCTTTCTCTCTATCTCTCTCTTTCTCTCTTTCTCTCTATCTCTTTCTCTCTCTCTCTCTCTCTCTCTCTCTCTCTCTCTCTCTCTCTCTCTCTCTCTCTCTCTCTCTCTCTCTCTCTCTCTCTCTCTCTCTCTCTCTCTCTCTCTCTCTCTCTCTCTCTCTCTCTCTCTCTCTCTATCTCTTTCTCCCCTCTTTTTTCTCTCTCCCTCTCTCTCTCTCTCTCCCTCTCTCTCTCTCAAGCACTCACTCAATCATGCACTCACCTCTCTCTACTTTTCCTTGACCTTCACTTCTTGCGTTTGTGTTTCCGCATTTCTTACTTTTGAAGTCTATTTAGTCTGCGTGTCACCCGTCCCGTCCGTCTTGGGTTCGTTATTGCGCCGTGTGTTTCATGTTTACCTTTCCTCGCTAGTGTTTGTCGCCTGTCTCTGTGAACCCTACTCCGCGCCTCTCGTCACCCGCCTGTCCTTGTGTTCGTGTTTGTCCGTCTTCTGCCGCTCCGGTGCTGTCGCTGCCTGCTGGCTAGTTGTTCCGTAATTGGAGGCTGAGGAGCGGCTCGCTGCTGAGACGGCCCTCCTCGTGCGGTGGTTCTCCGCCCGTGTCGGTGTCGGACCTGCTCCGCGCGCGTGTCCCGTCGCTCTCCGTCGCCGGCCCGTCTCCGTGGCGCGGCGCTGCCGCTCTCCAGCCGAGGCCCCGTGTCCGGAGACGGGGCGATTAGCGCCGCCGTGCTGAGCGCCCGGTGTGGGCACTGCGGGGCGGCGGCCGCCCCCGCCTCCGCCCCCGCCCCCGTCCCCACCCCGCCTCTGCCGGAGGCAGAGTGTCGTGAGATGAACCACCTGAATTAGAGGAGAACAACAAATCAGTGCCGAACAAACGACGGGACCTGCGGAGTGCCGCGGAGCGCGGTCGGCCAGCGAAGGCAGAGCGGGACAGAAGGCGGGCGGAGCGCGCCCATATGCGGGCCGTCCTGTCCGGGATATACTGGTCTCCCCGACTGCCGGCCCGTCCCGCCGTCACGTACGCAGGCGGCTCTCGGCGGAAGGCCGTGTGCGCGCGCCTGATTTATTGTTTGTTTGCGTGCGTGGCTGGCCGGAGTTTGGCTCCGCTGGGAACTGGGAGGCGGCGGCGGCTCTAACTGCTACCAATTCCGCACCGGAAGAGAGACGATATTCGGTGGGCGATTCTGAAGGCGATAGGTGCGGAGATTTCATCGGATGAGGCAATTTGGCTGGTTTGATTACGGTCCGCTGATGGCCCGGTGGGGCCGAGGTAATGGGCCGCGGCTCAGGATCGCTCGGTTTAATCGGGAACGGAGACATTTTTGTAAAACGTTCCGGCGCTGCGACTGTGGTATAATTTTGCTGCGAGGGAATCTGCTCGGTTCCTGGCGCCATCAGCGAATGTTGAATCTCGTTACGAGCGTTTTCTTCATCCGTTTATGGTTGTTACGTGGTAACACTTATCGCTACCATGTTATCACTACCATTTGTGTCGGAATTCAGTGTTCCTCCACGGTGTTTCACACCACTGTTTCGCACATGATTCCTGGGCCTTTATTTCCTTTTTATCTTTGTTACCCTTCCGTTCTCCCTTTTACCGTTGTTACCCCTCACTTGCCCTATTCACTTCCCCCTTCATCCAGCTCATCGCGCCTCCTCCTCAGAATAGGACATCAAATATTTGATGTCCTATTCTATCTGGTCCATGTTGAGGCTCGTGTTGTAATTTGGATGTATGGTCTTTCGATAGTAAATCAATCCTCCGCGAGTCATTAATTGTAGTCATTCTGTAAAGACTGCCTAATCAGTGGGCTTGATTAGTGGTTAATCATACGTCAAGGCATATACATTAAAAAGGAAGTGCCCTGCGGGGCTCATAAAAGTCCAACTACCATTATGTTATCTGGCGTGCGTCCAGTGAAGCTGATTTTGACCGTTCTTAGTGAATTAACTCACTAAGGACACAATAAGTGTCATGGCGGCGGATATTACGTTACGATTCGGCAGTGGATTTCCATTGGCGTTCCGGCCCTATCGACCTCATATCTGTCATTGGTCGGACAAGCCTCGTTACGCGCAGGTCACCGCGCTCAAGTGCCGGGATTAGTGTGAATCCAATAAACCGTCATAAGACGTCGCGCTCCAGAAATGGCCGCCGACACGGCTATAAAAAGCGATACGGAGAGATTACGGCTCCTGACGGCAGCCGGGCGTGCGCGTCAGATATCCGGGTCGTTTGCCAGGCGTTTTACGAGTCCCGTGCCGGACTGAATGTTGTCGTCATTCTGTGTGTGCGTTACTGCGTAGCTGCGTGACCTTTTAGCTGGGATTGAGGATGCACGCTGTACGATGCCCCGTGTGTTGCTCAGTCCAGCCGACTGTTCGGTAAACTGTCGACAAATGAGCGCTATTATTAGCGGCGGCTTGGACTGAGCTAGAAATAAGTGGTGCTTACCCTGCATTCTGAGACGCGACCTGTCCTGATTGTTGTAGCCCCTGACGGGTTGGTGTATGTCGTTGCCCGGCGCGGCGCTGACGGACGGCGTGGCTCTGTTCTCCGACAGGTCAGCGAACAGCAGGTGATCCTGGAGAAGTCGGGCGTGCCGGGGTTCTACGTCACCAACGACCCGCAGGAGATCCGTCTGCAGCTCTACCTGCTGCGCTTCATCAGCGAGGTCAGCCAGATGCCGGCGCTGGCGCAGACAGACACCTGACGAGCACAGCCAGACACTTCCTGACCAGGTCAGCCGGATACCGGCGCTGACGCAGCCCGACACCTCCTGACGAAACCATACGGCTCCTGGCGCAACCGGGCGGTTTTTTGAACGTAATAGTACGTCTCATGAATACTGGCGAACAGTCTTTCGAACAGGACACCACCTGAACGACGGGCGGGCGGCTCCTGAATACCTGTGGCTCCTGCGCACAAGGTTGCAGTTGGCGGGTTTAACCCAGGGTATATTGAGTGGTTTAACCAGCATACCGTGTCCTAGAAGCTATGTCCGGGAGAGGCGCAGAGAATCTTCTTTCATTTCAAAGAGAACATGCTTTCGCTGTGTGTCTTTGTTGCTCGGACCTCAAGTGTGGAGTATTACCCGGACATCAGCAGGATAAGCAGTGTGACGCACCGTCATCCTGTGCCTTTGTGACGCCTGTATTCCGCGAATAAGACATTGTGTGGCCCGGCCTGTGGCGTCACCACGGCAGTAACACCATTGCAGCGTGTCGGGTGACTCAGCAGCCGCGTGCGTCACCCGCTATCGTGCGACTCTCATGGGGGATCCGGTGTCGCACACCCTGTGTCTCTGCTCTGTGATAGTGCCCCGGCCGGGCCGGGCGCACTTCAGGTGTAAGTCCGAACGCTGAAGACGCTCCTCTGAACGCGCTATCGCCTCTGATCGCCCCTCATCGCGATACGCGCCGCAGGCAGGGGCCCTGTGTGGGCGCACTGTGTCAGTAAAGTCCCCTATCAGCTGTGATATCAGTGACAGTCGAGATACGAGTGCGAGGCGCCCTGTGAGCGCTGATTTGTGAGACCAAGTGTCGAGAGGTGGCACGGCTGGCTGTGGTGACAGATAAATAGACAACACTCTCTCTATGTGGCTCGTTTTACTTATCCGAAGGATTCAGAGTCACCGATCACCGTATCATTTTGACGAACTATGGCCCGACAGTCATGACGCTTTATGGCTTTATTCGGGAAATGGAATATCGGCTCATACACCTTAAATATTAGCACACTTGTCACTCATCCACTTCGCAAACACGAGTGCTGATAGTATTATGTGTATAGGATAATATTTAACGTTTTGCGGAGATAACATTACGTTTGATTTCACAAATAGCGTTTTCTAAGGTATCATCGGTAAGTTATTCACAAAAACACACAAATGTATCTTCGGAGGACAACGTGCTCTCATGACTATTTATTTTTAACATTGAGTTATCAAATCAGCTGTACTACGCGTGTAGCATGAACTGTACTTGAGACGAGTAATAATCATTCCACCGCATATCTGTAGGGTGATATCACATTTTGTTCAGCTCCACACCGTTCCGTTCAAGCTGTTCATTCCCACATTCAAGCTACTCATTCCCACATGGTAGCCACTCTCTCGGCCGTGTTCGCTGTCGGCCCGAACACCGGCGGCCGTCACGACTCCACTGGTTCTTCTCACGGAGCCTGAGTTCAGCGTCTGCCGCAATACGGCCCTCTGTGCCCTCTGTCGGCCGTAGACAGTCCCTGTAGCTGCCCGCCGTGTCCTATCCTGAGGACCGTGTCAGTCCTATCCTGCGGACCGCGTCAGTCCTGTCTCCGTGCAGCTCGTCTGTCGGCGCCTCCCTCACCACTGGCCGCGGCCGGGCGAGCGCGACCGGCGGTCTCGGCCGTCCGGATAGCGGCCGTCGTAGCCGCCCGGCTGCGGCGCCGGGCCCTTGGGCAGGCGCGCCAGGTTACCGGCTCCGTACCTGAGGACGGGGCGCGGGTCAGTGTCAGGGATATACCTTACCGGCCCCGTACCTGAGGACGGGGCGCGGGTCAGTGGTCAGGGGCATACCTTACCGGCCCTGTACCTGAGGACGGGACACGGGTCAGTGTCAGGGACAGGGGCTACTGGCGGCGGGGCTCAGGGTCAGTGTCAGGGCAGAGGTCACTGGCGACAGAACGCAGATCAGTGTCAGGGACAGAGGTCACTGGCGACAGGACGCAGGTCAGTGTCAGGGGCAGAGGTCACTGGCGACAGGACGCAGGTCAGTGTCAGGGGGCTCAGGTTAGTGTCAGGGGCATGGTTCAGTGTCAGGGGACTCAGGTTAGTGTCAGATGCATGGTTCAGTGTCGGGGGTACAGGTTACTCGAGACAGGACCAGATAGTGTTGGCTCACTTGGACTCAATTTTAAAAAGGGCGTATTAACACATGTCGTGCTTTCAATTCCACGGCATTTACCGGACAAATACATGACACTGACATGCATAAGATTGCGCACTTGAAATCGTGCGGTGAACAAAGTCATTCTGAAAGATTGGCGATAAGCTTGGGCCCTGGAGCTAACTTTATCGCTCATCCGTAGTTGTCTTGACCGCCCACCCGGAGTCATCTGTCGCGGCGCCCCTCACCTGGAGTTGCTGTCTCATCACTGCTCACCCGGAGCTGCTGTTCGGCACTGCTCACCTGGAGTTGCTGTCTCACCTGGAGTTGCTGTCTCCGCTCACCTGGAGTTACTGTCTCACCACTGCTCACCCGGAGCTGCTGTCCGGCACTGCTCACCTGGAGTTGCTGTCTCACCTGGAGCTGCTGTCTCACCTGGAGCTGCTGTCTCACCTGGAGTTGCTGTCTCCGCTCACCTGGAGCTGCTGTCTCGGCACTGCTCACCTGGAGCTGCTGTCTCACCTGGAGCTGCTGACTCGGCGGGCGCGGTCGGACGGCACTGCTCACCCGGAGTTGCTGTCTCACCTGGAGCTGCTGACTCGGCGGGCGCGGTCGGACGGCACTGCTCACCTGGAGTTGCTGTCTCGGCACTGCTCACCTGGAGCTGCTGTCTCACCTGGAATTGCTGTCTCACCCGGAGCTGCTGTCTCGGCACTGCTCACCCGGAGCTGCTGTCTCACCTGGAGTTGCTGTCTCACCTGGAGTTGTTGTCTCACCTGGAGTTGCTGTCTCACCTGTAGGGAGTTGCTGTCTCACCTGTAGGGAGTTGCTGCCTCACCTGGAGTTGCTGTCTCACCACTGCTCACCTGGAGTTGCTGTCTCACCTGTAGGGAGTTGCTGCCTCACCTGGAGTTGCTGTCTCGGCGGGCGCGGTCGGACGGCATGTGCGCGTCCGGCAGCGGCTGGTGGAACCGGTCGAAGCCGTGCGGTTCAGAGATGTGTGTCGGTGAGGAGAGCTGGCGACCGGCCCGCGGCGGCTCGCTCCTGCCGGCGTGAGGTGGCGGGTCAGCGGGCCGCGGGACAGGCCAGGGGAACTCATTTCGAACCATGCTCGGCTATGTGGATGCCCTAAAGGTTAGCAAGCTGACAAGCAAATCTGCTTTCGTGGATTAAATCCCTCGAATATTCCACGGCCTTCCGATCGACAACGGGATGAAATAGTTATTTAGGGTGAATTATGCCGCTGAAGAATGACGTCAATAGCTTCAAACGATCTAAAATTGATGAATTCGCAATGACGTGGCATAGAGGCATCTCAATATCGTGGAACAGTGTTAGTGTCGTTCACTTTGAGACGACACTCGTCAACCGATACAGGTGACGCACGTGATACCAAACACTCCTGTTGGCTATCTTTACCACTTGTCGCTTGACTAACCACTCGGAATCCCCCCCCCCCTTCTCCCTACTCTGACATGCACCATATTTCAGGAGACTGACCGGAAAACCTCAGCTGTCTCTCACCAGGCGTGGTCGCGGCGTACAGTTCCTCTCACCTGGCCTGGTCGGGTAACTGATCGCGTTATAACTGTTTCCCTCACCTGCCCTTGTCGGGGTACTGGTACGGTCGGGCTACTGATCGCGGCACTGTTTCCCCCACCTGTCCTGGTCGCCGTATTGGTGTGGGCACTGGTCTGGGCGCTAGTCGGAGTACTGTTTCCCTCGCCTGCCCTGGTCAGGTACTGGTCGCAGTGTTGGACCTCTCACCTGCCCTGGTCGGGGTACTGGTCTGGGTATTTGTCCTCTCACCTGCCCTGGTCGGGGTACTGGTCTGGGTGCTACTTGGGGTACTGGTCGCGGTACTGACCGGGTACCGTTTCCCTCACCTGCCCTGGTCGGGGTACTGGTCAAAGCCGCGGTTCTGCAGCTCGTCCCCTCCCCAACGCTCGTCCTCGTCGTCGTCCGGAGCGAACGCCCTGTTGTCGCGCTGCTGCGGTGGCGCCGCTGAGGCCACGGGATTGCGCCGGGTGGCCCGCTTCTGCGACTGAGCGGTCAGGCCGGCGCCGGCCGCCTGCAGCGTCTTGATCGTCTGATTCATACTGAGGAGCGGACACGGGGGCGGGCGGTCAGCGGGGATGCAGAATGGGGAGCGGTGTTCACAGGTGGTGTTTGGTGTGGGATTTTAATGAAGCTGCTGATTGGAGAGCTGTGATTGAATGAGTTGCGATGCAATAGCTTGATATTTTTCCCTTTTCGCTTTTTGCGTACACTGAAATACGAGTATCAGCGAAACAACACGACCAGGGACCAGGGTCAGATCTGTAAATAGCCGGTCCTCGGCGATTATGTGTTCGTTTGAAGCTTAGTGCCAACAGCCCGGCGTTCTAATGGAGCTCACCCGACGACGACATAGGCGGTGACGAGGCTGACGACCAGCAGGAAGACGATGAAGGTGACGAACACGCCGGTGATGATGTAGATCTGCTCCTGGACGTCGATCACGGTCGACTCCGTCTGTGGAGTGACGTCAGTCATCAGTACCGCGAGTCGCGAACGGTGACTTCGGACGTCAGTGACGGCGGGATCGTTTGCATTGTATAATCGGGTTATAGTGGACTGCATAGATTGCATGAACGTGCAGCCAAGTCGTGTAGTAGTTGCTCCTCTACTCCTGGAAATTTTGCTCAGCCGATAACTGTTTAACCCAAGGTTTAACCGAACTGGTCCTCGTGTTGATATTATATTGCGGAACCACTGCTTAGTGCTTATACAGGAAAGGGTTTTCATAAAGTCACTTCGCAAACAGAGTGCCTTCTCTACCCCAACAATGCAAACGATGAATTTAAACCCCTGGCGCTCCACCAGCAAGCACTCTGTTATCCAAATAATCTCCGGGCAGTGTCCATGTTTGTTCAGCCGATTACGGCTGGTTCCGAGGCCTTCTGTCGAACTGAGCTCACCACCCCGGCACCTCCCTATCGGGGGAGCAGATTCCTGCCGCGATCAGCTGGTCTATCGGCGTGTCAGCGATGACGACGACCCTGAGTGAGGGCGGGGCGGGACTGAGGCCCGATAACCGAGCTGGCCATCGCCGCCGCAGCAGCGTTAGCTAGGTGGTGCTCCGCGCGGCTGATAGTGCCTGACAGTTATCTAAAGGACATTGGTGTATGCGAACGCGATAAAGAGACTGAATGGCTAACAACTCAGGGGGTTATCGTTAGAACAGCCTTTTAAGGGCTGATATTTTACAGAGCTTCTCCCCGACAGATGGCGATCTGACGTGTGGGGGCCTCCCAGCCTAAAAGCGGATTCACACCGGCTTTTTTACGCCCAGCGAGGTCACACGGTATGGGGGTCTTCGATGAGCAAGTGCCTCCTCACGAGCCAGGGGGATCGATCAAAAAATGGGTGACGGAACCTAGAAATGACTGAACCCTCCTTTAGAAATTGAGAGTCGATAAATTAGTAAACTCCCGGTTGTGTCCGCGTCTTACCTTTTGGCGTCAATAAATTGGCACCGTTTATATTGCCGGAAAAAAATGGTATATTCCGTATATTTTATCTCGGGACAGGGATCAACCAAAGTGTTCATGACTAGTAGTGCACACTGCACAGTGCACACCAACAAATAGTATGGATCATATATCGTGTGTCATGCATGCATGTCAAATATCGTGTGGATGCAATATTTTTTCAGTTGTGATGCGAGAAGCGACTACGAGTTGTCGAACAGAAGCACCCTGGCTCCGTCGGCAGGCGACGAGCGGCCAACGTCGCCACTCGCCAGTCGCCACCCGCGCGGCGGTCCGCGGCGAACTGGAATGTCCAGTTCGACTGCAGGGGTAGACTGTACCGCAACACGTCAGAGTTCGGCTGTACAGTATACCCAGACCCAGCCCAGCGCGCATGGACGAAACGGGATGCGGCTGTTCGGCTACTCAAAGTCAGCTAATGGACAGTAGCGGCGGAACACCTTCAATTAAGGGGGGGGGGGCACTGCCGACTTTTGGTCCCATTCTTTCCATGTAACGCCCATAGGGCTAATGTTAAAATGCCAAAATCAAAGGGGGCACGGTGCCCCGGTGCCCTCCCCGTTCCGCCGCCTATGCTCGTGGACCAACATGAGCAGACCTTTTCAGATGTGTCCCAAGCGTCGTGTTCTGTGCGAGAAAAGAACAAGAAGAGACCTTCGAAGCTGCTATATCTGCTAGGCTCGATCCGCAAAGGTGTTATCAATGATGATTGATGCATTTGGTCGACGACAAATTTGAAGAGGCAAATAAGAACGTAACCACTTTATGCAGCAAGCCTGTGGCTTTCAGTTGCCGAGTAAACACACTGTATTAGTGGACGCATACCTTTTTTTTACAAAGAAGTGATTCATTGTTGTTATCCACCAATCGGGACATTGCCCACAGCTCTGTCACCGTTCGCATTGACCCAGCTGATCTCTTGGCCAAGCGAATCACAAAGCTGCTTTGGAGTGTAAACCGAGGCCCGCCCTCGGGACGAGCCTCGGGACCGAGTGATCTGTGCAGATCGGATAGACCCGTATCCCATACAGCCAGGAGCGCGCACAGACAGGGACGTAATTTTATATCTCTTTATGGGGGCAGATGCACCCACAATCCTGAATTATGCCCCCACAATGATGAAAATGCACCCACAATTCTTTTACAAGCGTCCTTTCGATACACGGCGCCCTTCGCATGCTCTAACGGCGTCCTCCTGACCGTCTCGCGTTCCTGGATAATATAGCCAAATTCTGGTTGCCAGCCTGGCCACTCTTGTTCTTGGGGATGCCTCATCGGGACACTGCGCGCCTATCGTTAGATTTATGTTCATCGTATGTGGGGCCAATATGAGTGTGCTTCTACAGGTTGCTGGAGGTCATATCCCATCTGAGATTATGTACACCTCAAGATCCCCCTGTGGAGTCACCGACTCGCTCAGTTGGCTCCTGGCTCAGAACACTGGGGAGGCATGGGCACTAATACAAATGATATTAGCGCCACCCATATGATAGTGTTATGTAGTTTTTGGTATGCCTATGTTTTGGTGTAGGTATGATTGTGCATATGTTTTCTGGCGTATGTCTTGTGTGCATTGTGTATGTTTGTTATGCCCATGCTTGTCTTGTCTCTAGACGTAATACAATTGATGATGATGATGATGATAGCCTTTTTAGTCACTCGGCGCCCTTCTGGGAGAATGGCGCCCTTTTGACAGCACCACGCCATTCTCATGGTCTAACGGCGCCCTTAGGTCTTTCATCCCTCGACTGTTCGGCGCCCTTCTGGCCTCTCAGTGCCCCTGGACCACATAGCGTTTTCAATCACTCGGCGCCATTTTCATGGTCTCACGGCGCCCTCGTAACCGTCTGGCGCCCCTACGTCCCCACCAACTTAGCATTACTGACTGTGCGGCGCCCTTCTGGCCTCTTATCGCCCCTTGACCACAAAGCGTTTTCAATCACTCGGCGCCCTTCTAGAAGAATGGTGCCCTTGTCATGGTCTCACGTTGCCCTCGAGTCGTAACCGTCTGACGCCCCTACGTCCCCACCAACTTAGCGCTATTGACTGTTCGGCGCCCTTCTGGCCTCCCAGTGCCCCTGGACCATAGATGGTTTTCAATCACTCGGCGCCCTTCTAGAAGAATGGCGCCCTTTTCATGGTCTCACGGCGCCCTCGCAACCGTCTGGCGCACCTCCTACTGGATGGCGCCCCCTTACGCTTGTTTACGCGCTTCCGGTCACTTTACACTCTTAACCGTGTATTCGTTTAGTCAGACATGTCACTTGAAGCGCGAGCGCCCTTCGGCTAGCAATGTTATCAAATTCGGTGTTAATTTAAGCTCCCACATAAAGAATATCCATTGCGCCCCAAAGCGGCCTGGCGCCCCTACAGCTGGGCACCCACAATCATTTTAGGAATATTACACCCCTGGGCACAGGGTAGTCCCAGCGACTGATCGAGCACTCTGCAGTTGCCGCTGTCTAATGGCTGGAAGTCGCTCGAGGAGAGAACTGCCTGCTACATAACGGTCTTTGTCCAGCCCAGGCCTCCACGTCAAAGATGAGTACCCTTAGCTGGCAGTTCCACAAGGCTGGGTGTTTGCTCTCTCTTTTGTTTGGGGCGGGCCTTTGTCAAACATTTACCACTGAAGTGCCTGCGTGGGGGACAACGTAAAAAAACGGTTGCGTTGAAGGACGCAATGCGGTCTGCGAACGATTGAAGCAGCTTCTGGTAAATGCTGCACACCTGCGCACACGTTTGTTTGGGCTTTATGGCGTTGGACGAGCTCCGTGGTCACAAGGAGATCCTTAGGGAGAAGAAGGTAGGATAGAGACTGCACAGGCTGTCACAGACAAACAGATCTGACACGCCGACAATGACACGCATGAAGTTGAAGATGTACAGGCACTGACACACGATCTGACACGGGTGACATGCAAATAGGCACAGACCGTGAACACGGGTCTGGAACAGACACTGAAGTCTGAGGCACGGAGCGGACACACTGACAATGCAGAGACGAGGACACAATGTGAGGTGTCTGGCGGAGACACTGACACACAGCTCCAGTCCCGGGCCGCCTGTGCCACAGCCCGCCGTCCGTCAGTACTCACCGGCGTCGGCACGGTCGGTATGTCGGCACCATCGCCGAGTTCGAGTAGCGGTGAGCCGCCGCAGCCCAGGGCGCAGCCGAGCAGGACCAGTAGCGCCGGGAGCGCGCGCACACCACACACCGCTGCCATGGCGGCTCGGCTCGGCGACAGTGCAGGCAGCCGGCGGGCGGCGGCCGAGCGGGGCGCCTATCGCCGCGATAGGGCCGCCGGCGCAGATAGTGCCGCAGATCCGGCACACGATAGGGCGCCTATCGCGGCCTTGCGTGCCGCCCCGTGCGGCCGGGGGCGCATCTCCCAGCCGGGGACCGGAGCGGAGTCTGAGCCGGGCGCGAGCCGACATCTCTGCGCGGGTCGACGGACGCCTGTCTGAGCAGCCGTCCTTATCCAGCGGAGGCCGCACGGTAAACCGTGGCAGCTCGGCGTAATTCATAATGGACCCGGTTAAATATATGCACAAGATACACGATATATTGCGTGATAGGACATGTGCGTCAACACTCGACTTCACAGGCGCCTCCAACAAAAACAATGGCGCCGTCGGGTGACAGTGTGTTCACTGGATACGTCGCCGTTGGCAGACAGCCCCTGCCCGTTACCCCGGCAGTGGCCGAGGCACTAGAATCAGCCCCCAGCTGAGGTAAAACCACCTCTATCGATCACATAACGCGGTACGACGGCACTATATGGCGGTCAAGTTAATGGTCAAACGCTAGCGTGCCCACACTGATGATCGGTACAAAGTGCCCACAGCACAGCATCACACACACATACACACGGATGAGGACCAAAGTGCGCACAGCCGACCTGCACAGAGAATGAACACAGCGCCGCGACTCGCCTCCGGTCGCCGTCAGTTCTGTATCATCCGCTTCTTGGGGTCGAAGATGTACCGCTTGAAGTCCAGCTGGACGGCGACGGGCGCGGGCGGCGGCGCTGCGGGCGCCTCGGCGGCCGCCTTCCCCTTCTTGCGCGCGCCGGTGCTCAGTCGAGCCCGGGTCTCCTCCGCCAGGGCGTCGGTCAGCCGCACCTTGACCTTGCCGCTCTGGCCGAAGGGGCCGTCGATGACGCCTGCCTCTCCGGTGGCGAGGCGCACGCGCAGGCCGCTGAACAGCGCCACGTTGCTCTCCTTTTTCAGCAGGTCCTTGACGATCACCTCCGTGTCGCTGTGCAGCCGATCGACCACGCCGGCCTTGCCCTTGCGTTTGAACACCCTGAGCGCGGGCAGGAAGGCGGTGGCGTAGTCGCGCTCCAGCGGCGCCAGCAGGCGGCCGTGGAAGGCCAGCCGACACGCCGGCGAGTTGGCGTCCATGTCGAGCCGCGAGCCGATAAGCGCCGCGCCCGGCGGCACCGTGACCGGCCGCTCGAGCTCGAGCAGCGCCAGCGCCGCGCCGCGCTCCAGGCTCTCCAGGTAGACGTACTCGGCCTGCGGGTCCCAGCCGGGCGGCTCCGGCTCCGGCTCCGGCTCCGGCTCCGGCTCCGGCCCCGGCCCCGGCTCGGCGTCCGGCGCCGCCTCCCGGCCCGGCGTGGTGAACAGCGTCAGGCGCGCCATCACCGTGTCGTGGCCCAGCGTCACGTGCAGTCGACTCTTGCTGCGGATCTCGCCCCGGTAGTAGCTGATCCTGTGGAGAGGGGCGGCGGTCAGCGGCGGAATGGTCGCGCTGGCAGAGGGGCGACCAGAGGGGGCAGTACCGAACAGAGCGGACGGACGGACTACAATTCGCTGTGCCTGAATGGGCCAATTAAAGATGCCACATGATTAAGAATAAAAATTGTTCAAAGGACTATGGTTACATTGAAACAAAGTTTTATAAGTTGCAAGATATTCGCTATCGGACAACAGTTATAAGACTGGGGATCGAAACACGATAAACGGAATAGAATTCGACACTTCTATGTAGCTCACAAAAGCAAAAGTTTCTTCTCCTTAGCCATACGCGTATTGTTTGTTTGTTTGTTTGTTGGGGGTTAGGGGCGCGCCGACTACGAGGTCATTTTGCGCCCGAGGAGACAACAGCGAACAGTGAACTTCGAACGGCCGCAACATCGTATTCCTCGAGACAGCAATGGAACTGTTCGGTTTCCGATAACCAGCCGATTTGGTTAGGAAGATCAAGGATGTTGATAACAGACTGGCAATGAGACTGCTCAATACTCATAACCATTCCAGCGACTTGGTAAGAGAAACTGGTGGGAATACCATCCAGCTCAAAATGTGCTTCAGAACATCAAAGCGCTCACAATAAAAGCGTGAATGTATGCCTCGCAGTAGGGCCTGCTTTTACCGGGGACCGCCCGAGGCGTTGCGCCACTCTGGGGGAGCGTCTGAATTGGAGCTTGCCGGCCGACGCTGTGTCGGATTGGGGCCGGTACCCACTCAGGTGCGTCCCGACAGCATACAGATTGCACATTAACAGCGCACAGACCGGCCCGGCCCGCAGGCGGACGGCAAACCTGCCGAGCGCCGACACATCGCATTAGACCGCGCTGGACTGCGGGGGTAATGCGAAAATTTAGAGCAGCCTGAACCCAGCAGCGAGCGAGCGTCAAGAAAGACCAACTTCGATACGCGTGCCCTTTTCACAAATGGAAACGTAGTCAGCCAGACCTTCAGGCCTACAGTAGGTAAACTCGGGATTATGGTCAATTACCTCACCACTCTGAATTATTCGAACGGCAGTCCAGTCTGATGACCTGGCTGAGGGCGCAGTCCGACAAGACCGGGCGCCGTAGCAAGGTCACGACTCGCGACCCGTCGGCGCCCCCCCCCCCCCCCTCCGTGTCACGATCCAGCCTCTAATGCGAGTCGTCATGACGCCTGCACAAAGCCCCGGCTCGGCTGGACAAAGCCGGTGGCGGCCCGGCGACAGGCGCGTCAGCATTGATTTCGGCCGGCCATTTCCCTAAGATCTCGACCGGCCGGCAATTCTGATTGGCTTTACGGCGAAATGGCGCGCTGGGTGTAATGTAGGGAGGAGCTGCCAGTGCCGGCCGCTCCGGGGCACCGCTCAGCGCCGTGTCAGCCCGCGCGCCGTATTGTAACATTAATTTCCCAGCACAGGCTGAGATGGACACGGAAAACACATCAGCGTTCGGCCATGTTCGGAGAAGGTCACCGTTTAGTGAACTGCGAGAGAGGCGGATGTGACGTCATAGTGAGGACTGCAATTGACTGGAAAAGGGGACAGATTTTATAGCCACTGTGCTCTAAGATTCCGAGACAATCTACTTTCCACCTGTCTTTTTTACTAATGAAACACAATAATAACTATTGAAATATCAATTCTAACAAAATATTAGAGTGCAACAACTTCGCCAGAAACAGAAACGGTAATGCATGTGCTAATGGAAGACCAGAAGAGGGCCGTCAAGAATACGGTTAGCTTCAAAGTCACCACGCACTAGATGCATGCTCGAGTACAGTGGATGTTTATATTTATATGCAGATGAAGCGATTATGATCCACAGCCCCTCTATTAACCAACTTATCATACACATTACACATACTCCACTTTGTAGGTTCGCCTATTCACTGACAGATCCAGCTCACTATCACAGAACGCCTCTGAGCGGCACTGGCGGCGTCCGAATGCAGCAACGTCCGACCGCGAGCCTCGCCGTCACCTCTCGGACTAAGAGCGGACGGGACAGACTGACGGACGGGACGGCAGACCAGGACCGTGGCGGACACGGACCACAGCAGACCAGGACCGTGGCGGACACGGACCACAGCAGACCAGGACCGCAGCAGACCAGGACCACAGCAGACCAGGACCGTGGCGGACACGGATCTCAGCAGACCAGGACCGTGGCGGACCAGGACCACAGCGGACACGAACCAGTAGGGAACGGGTGGGACCGCGGCCGGCGCCGCTCGTCCGTACCCCGCCGGCCGGCCGACCGTCCGGCCCGGGAGCGCCGACTCTTCTCGGCAGCCTTCTGCGAACGGAGGAGCCTAATTTGTGTGGCGAGTGCGCCGCGGTCGCCAGGGAGGCCTCCCGCCGGCCGCTTCCGGCCGTCAGGGGCGGCCCCGGTGTCGGCTAACAGCGCCGTCCCAGTGCAGCATTCTCACACGATAACGTCCTGAGACCCGAACAGCACATTGGCACAGAGTGTAACAGCGCTGCCTCAATGTAACATCTCACAAATGATCTCACAACGTATAAGAATCAATGGTCCTTCAGTGACGAAAGCGGTATGAACCTACATTGAAGGGAACGGGCGATGCCAAACGAACCTTGTTCAAAGCTGCAACTGCAACAGACATCTAAGATTGGTGCTCGACGGCTGTTTCAAGGAATACAAAACATGGAGAGATTGCAGTGCTGGCAAGATGAAAGCAAACTGTCTGCATTACGAGAACTGGTACGTGGTGTTCAGCGACGGAAAAGAATGTTGCATGCGATGAACAGGAAATAGAAGGCTCTATGGTAAACATCATAGCAGGGGCGCTAGCGTAGCACCGATGCCACCGACAGACTGAAAACGCTTCAGAGTCGTGACGACAGGTGACCGGGTGGAGTGAGAGGGACTGGAATGGGCTGCGGGACCGCTCTAAAAGGCTGGCCGGGCCGGGAGGGGCGCCGATGGACCGGCCAAGACCCTGGATGAGAGAGGACGCCTGCGAGCGCCCGCCACTCTGAGAGCGCGTCCCGTGTGAGAGCGCGCTCACGGTAATGCTGTACCAACATCCACGCTTACGAACTTGCAGAGATCTAAATAAAGATCAAATTACCTATAAAAAAAAAACACTAGAGACTAGGTTCTGTGGCCTTCAAAGCACAACATCCCCTTGAATCCTGATACATCCCTCCCCAGATCTGACCCTCCCCTGGGCCCTGTCCCTGTCCCCTGTCCCCCCGTACCGGTGTAGGCTGACGATGCAGGCCGGGCTCCCTCCCCAGATCTGACCCTCCCCTGGGCCCTGTCCCTGTCCCCTGCCCCGCCGTACCGGTGTAGGCTGACGATGCAGGCCGGCACAGTGGACAGGTAGCCGACCTCGCACACCAGGCCCCGCTCCAGCGTCTTGGGATCGAACTGTGTGACGCACACGCCGAGCCGGTCGCCCTGGACAGCCCGCTCCACCGGCCGGCGGAACATCTGCAGCGACTTGACCTTCTTGGTCACCTTCAGCGCCGGAATCTCCACCGTCTGCGGAGGGCATAGCCGTCACAGGTCAGAGTCACAGGTCACAGGTCAGAGATCAGAGGTCACAGGTCACAGGTCAGAGGTCACAGGTCGAGGAATACAGGTCGGAGAATACAGATCAGAGGTCACAGGTCGGAGAACACAAGTAGAGGTCACAGGTCACAGGCCGGAGATCAGAGGTCTGAGACGGCACGGGATTCATGGCATGAGACACATCAGTCACAGACGTCATAGGTCAAAGGTCACAGCCGTCACAGGTCAGAGCCACAAGTCACAGGACTACATAAGGCCACAGGTCACAACCGTCACTGTTCAGGTCACAGCTCCGTTACCACCTCGGCCATGAAGACCAGGGGTCAAGAGAACTCCGTCCGAAGACTGAACGGGCGTTTTCATTACTGCTGCTGTAAAGTCAAAGGAGGGTGTATTAGTTCCGCGAAACGCTTCCGGACCACCTGTTCGGAATTCATCAGAGCGCCGGAAATCAGTCGCGATCGGCGCCGGCTCGGTGTGAACCGGTGCGCGCCGTCTGTCCCACGTGCCGCGCTGGCCCGGCGCGACCCTCCCGGAACACTCGCCGATCGGCCCGGCGAGCGGAGCGCCGTCGGCGGCGGCGGAGCGGCGCGTCTCGCAGACTGTCATGTAATATGCATGCAGTTCGGGCGCCGCCACTAAGATGGTTTTAATGCGTCGTCCGTGAAATGGTAAAGAGCGTCTCCGCGGCGCCGGGCGATGCGTCTGGGTCTTCCCGGAACGGGCGGCCATCCATTCAGCGCCCGCAGTACCGGGGGAGGCGCCCGGCATCCGGGAAGGTCCGTTTGTGGCCGCGGCGGCGCACTTATCTGCCAGGCGTGCCAGGTAACCCCGCTGGGTGCCTGAGCTCACTAATGTGACATGGATTGAGGAATAGTTAGACATACGTGTCCACATCAGTGCTGAAATACACTGAGTACGTGAGAATCGAGTAACAATAATTTTGGAGCTCGGTTTCTCTGTGTTTGCCCACAACCAGTCTAAAAAATCACATGACCCAGTGGGTTCACCTTGCTCACCCTGACGGTGTGCCGATGGGGCGGCCGAGGCCGAGCGGCGCTCACCTGGTTCACGCTGATGGAGCCCTGCAGCACGGTGCCGGTCAGAACGGTGCCCTGGCCGCGGATACTGAAACAGTGGTCCACCGAGAACACCAGCGGCTCGGCGACGGCGCGCGCCGGCAGGTACACCTGGCGGCGCAGCTCCTCTACCAGCTCCGACACGCCTGGGGGACACACCGGGACTCTGTCAGAACACACCGCGGGGAGGGAGGGGGAGATACAGGACCCTGTCAGCGGCGGCAGGTACACCTGGCGGCGCAGCTCCTCCACCAGCTCCGACACGCCTGGGGGAGATACAGGACCCTGTCAGCGGCGGCAGGTACACCTGGCGGCGCAGCTCCTCCACCAGCTCCGTCACGCCTGGGGGAGAGGGGGGACTGTCAGAACACACCGCGGGGAGGGAGGGAGATACAGGACCCTGTCAGCGGCGGCAGGTACACCTGGCGGCGCAGCTCCTCCACCAGCTCCGACACGCCTGGGGGAGACACCGGGACTCTGTCAGAACACACCGCGGGGAGGGAGGGAGATACAGGACACGGCGCAGCTCCTCCACCAGCTCCGACACGCCTGAGGGACACACCGGGACTCTGTCAGAACACACCGCGGGGAGGGAGGGAGATACATGACCCGGCGCAGCTCCTCCACCAACTCGGACACGCCTGGGGGAGATACCGGGGACACACGGAACTCTGTCAGAGAACACGGCTGGGAAAAACACGGAGACCTGTCAGAATAACACCCCCTGATGAATGGGGAAGGGGTCGTCAGAATAACACCCCTACCAGAACCAGAACACACGGAACACACGGGGAGCTGTCAGAATAACACTCCTCGGGATAACACTATGTGGTAACTAAATTAACCGGGGCTTTGTCGGAACTCACGAGGCTCTGTAAAACACACACACACAACAGCACACACTGTCGAAACGCACCGAGCTCTGCCATATAGCCACAGCCCACGACAAACGCCAACAGTAACAAATACGGCGGAAAAATAGACGTGTAGTTGATCGCTTTAGCTGCTCAACGTAACATTTTTCTTTAGTGCCCTAGCTCTAAAAAAGAAAGGCAGCAACACTTATCACTTATCCCACATTGGACGTCTGCGATTGAACGCCAACAAAAGAAACCCCGGCCAGAATTTACGCCCAGGTTTTCACCATAAATGAAATAAGCTAAAACGCCAAACGAAAAACGCCGATGACAAAATGACGTTTGGAACTAGGCGTCCAAACAGAACGCTATAAAGGGTTAGAAGTTTAAATTACTCCGCCGCGATGCGATCCCAAGCTCCCAGCGGCGCGGCAACTGATGCGACTGTTCACTGCTTGGATCACTAGCTGATAGATTTGTTGACTGATGGATCGTTGACTGCTGAGACTGTTGAGTGCTCTGGCGCGCCCTAACCGACCCCTCCGGCCGGTCTCCGGTCGGCCATCAGGCGTGTTTTGGACACGTGGTCAGCGGCGGTGGACGCTGACCGGGGACGGGCTGCAAGGGCCGCGCGGCCGCGGGTCAACACAGGGTCGTACAGGGACCCGGTAGCTGAACAAGGGTGAGCTGAGAGTCGCACGGGCGCGGGCAGACGGAGTGGTACCTACTTACGGGCCGTCACAGAACGGGCCACCACATCGCGACTGGGACATCCCTCATCAGCGCTGATCTAATCACGGCTTGGCTTAGAATGCTTCATATACGAATAGGCTCTTAATGTGACGCTAACTATCGGCAACTGTTGAGCTTGAAGCTGAGTTTGGCTAGAAGTTGCCTGTTGACTCGGCCGCTAGCTATCACTAGGTTAGCTCGGCCGGCGGGTAAGAGGTTCGCTCCATAGATCTCACACGCTCCATTGGTCGGTCATAGCTCAGACGGGCGGGCCACCAATTCGGAAGACAAGTGACCCGGCCGGTGACAGAGCGGCTCGTATTGACCCCGGTCGTGTCCAATTCTCCGGGCGGGCCGCGCCGTCACTCCATCAATTCTGGCCCTGGGCGCGACACCCGCCGGCCGCCACATTTGTTCCGGCTGAGGCCCGGCCATCTGTTCTCAGAACCTCCAATAATGGCCGGAATACATTCATAAATGGGAGCACTTCGGACACAAGTGCGCAGGTCAGACCGATCGCCAGCTCACGGAAGATGGCACACATCCGCTGGGATATTTCGCAAAATAGGTTTGTCTTAAACCTACCCAGCATCGCAATTCCGTTCCCGTATTGCAATGCACCAGCCTCTTCTGTCCTATGTAAGGAATGATCCCATGTTACGAACATGGCGGTACGTCAATGAAGTCCTTGTTACCGTCTCTCGCCGTCAACCATCCCTTTCCAAATCACAACAGCAGCATTCCTTAGAAGGTACTATTATCTCCGTTCCCTTTCACCCATCCTTTCGTCTCCCAACAATTACCATCCGTCATCCCCGTCAGTTCTTTTCCGTTCTGCCTTCTCCCTGACTTCTGCTCCCACGGAGAGGGGAGGGGAGGGGTGACTAGGGACCGGGTCACCTGGGCCGTCCGTGGTGAGCATTGAGCAATCTCCGGCCGGTGGGACGGCGCCCCGGCCGGTGGGACCTCAACGACCGGAGACCGTCGCCGCCCTGGAATGTCCGACATCACATCACAGGTGTCCGTCACATAGTGATAATGTCGCCGTCAATGCCACTGCAGGCAATACTGCAATGCCCATGGCCTCGAAATGCAGCGGGAGCCCCGATTGGCCCAGTTCCACTGCTCGCCCGACGCCCACAGACCCATGAACAGACAAACCGTCAACGCCCTCCCATCAGTGGTAATCGCCGGACAGGGGTGGCGTGGCACCTATCCGTCCACTAGCGCACAGTGTGGCCGAACCCCACATTAGCGTGAATTTAATCCAAAAACAAATTTCGGAATTTGAACTTTTCATGCTCCTCAATCAATAGAAAATTGTCTAAAGCATGTCAATATCACGATACTTTAGTCCAATATCCTCCTTTTGGTGATAAGGTAGCGACTACACGCAGTGGTAGTCGTTGCTGAGATGAACTCGTGAAAAACCCGCGTCATGCTCACAACACTTTTTGGCATAGTTGTCAAAGAGGTTTGGAAATAACTGACATTGCACATGATTAATAAGCTAATATTTGATAGTACAGCCAAACTTGATGGGTTTTTTGGACTAGATGAATTATCTCATTTAAAAATAACCTTTGCAGACATCCCATGAAAACGTGGGCCGCCGTAAAAACGTAGATATAAGAAAATGGCAAAGAATCCACGCCAAACCTACCATGAGAAGATTCGCCACACTTTTCTGCATATGTTCCATTCAAGAACCCCTGCCCCAACTTGCCCCCGGCCGTTGGCTCAGCTTTGAACGTGTCGGGTTGGTCCCCCCCCCCCCCCCCCCCCCCGAGTTCCGGCCACAAGGCGGGCGCGGCGGCGGCCCAATAATGGTACGTGGATGGCTGATACGCTCTGCTTCTGGGCTATCATTCTGCAGTATGTACCTACATTGTTGCGAGTGAATGATTTCAGACAATTTTTGCAATGGATGAAGGTGCTTGCAGTGTCAGTGTTTGTTTTCACTCTTGTTGCTGATGTTAAGTCCTACCGATGTCTGTAATTATTTCAGCCTTCAGGAACCGTCTAACGATTCAAACGCTGCATCAAGACAATAAACTAAGCGTCGATTTTTCGTCAAGCAAGCTTTGGACAATGGTAAGGAGTAAAGGCCGCCGTCCACTATGCGGAACGCTTGCGGCCCGTACGGAATTAACTAAAGAAGTGATAGGAAACCTCCTAAAGTAAATTGCTTCCATTTCTGCGAGAGACTGTATGGTAAAAGTTTTCTATGTTTTGACATCGACCTCTGCACCTGCAGTCTATATGTCTGGGCTACATAGGTCTATGGTGATTGGTTATGAAGAAGCGTCAATCAGGGCTCTTAGTACATAGTTGAAGGGCATCATCATAAGGAACGCTTACGGCACTGGACTGTCTGAAAGTTCGCTGAGCCTTTGGTGGCAGGTATTCAGCGTATGATGCAAGAATCTGACAAAAAGCCCAGGCTGCGTTTCTGTGGTCGCTGGAGGCCATTTCTGCCGCACCAGGCACAACCAAGAGCTGCAGTTGCAGGTCACACCGCGACCAGCCTGAAGCAGATGCAGGAACCATTTCTGGGGGGCCACCACGCACAGCACCATCTACTTTTTCTGTCATCTTACGCCTTTCATTTGCTGGCAAATGACTGAGGACTTCGAAGTCGGAGTCGCAGTGACTCAGAGTAGACGATTCCGATCGGAGTCTTGTATTTAACATCTGGGGGGCATCCACAGGTAGTTGTGGCTATTACGCTCCCGCGTCATATGAGAATGGAACAAAAAGACATCACACTCAACATATCACACAAAACTCACCAAAACGCATGGCTATGCATGAATAGATTTCAGCTGACATACATGCAACCCATATGCATAAGCCTAAATCAGTGTTGAAAGCGACGTTTGAGCGATGATTTGAACTTGTTTGTTGACATGTCCGGAAAATCACTGGGCAGAGCGTTGTACTGCATGGCTGCACGGTAGCTGAACCTTCGACGCCCCGCCTCTGTGTGGATGCCAGGTAGCCACAGCCTGCTATCCCGTCTAGTCGCTCGCTCGCGCATCTCCTCATTTCGGCGAAACATAGCGGCAATGTCAGCTGGCTCGCCCGTTCGGATAACCTTGTGCAGTAGCACCAGCGTATCGTACGACGATAGGTCACCAGCCGAGAGCCACCCCAGCGCGTCCCTTACATCAGCCACGTGGTCATATTTGCGACGGCCAGACACAACCCTTGCGGCAAAATTAATGACCTTATCAAGTCGTGCGAGGTTCCCTTTCGAGCAGTTCCCGTAAACGGGCAGGCAGTACCGCACATGTGAGAGAACAAGGGCAGTCACAAGCGTCACAATCGTTTCCTCTGGTATGTAGTGGCGCACCTGGCTCAATCCTATCAGCGCTCCGAAACATTTACCAACAATGGCAGCAACATGGTCATCCCAGGTGAGGTAAGAATCGAAGGTCACGCCCAGATTCTTGACCTTTTGACACGGTTTCAAGACGGCGTCTCTAAATCTTACATTTATGTCAGGCAGGTTGCGCATGCTCTGCCGGCTGCCAAACGCAATCAATTCAGTCTTG